GTAAAACCTTATACTATACATACATACAGAGATTCACAGTACATGACATCAGAGATTCACAGTAAATAACCCCAGAGAGGGGCTTGGACCCAGGGTGATCCGCGACCTTCATTCTTCGCGTGCGTTTTAAGTTTCTTTGATCGATGCAGATCGGGAAATACAACACCCAAATTTCCGTGGCTTAAGCTTAACGTACAAGAAAGCAATAACGTTTTCTGTTATTAGAAGGGGGTTAGGGTTGTTGTTTGTTTTTGTTTGTTTGCTGTTTTAGTAGGTGTTTTATGGCACTTGCAACACAATTAGGTCGAAGATGAGAGGTGTTACTAGAAAGAGTAACATAAGGTCGCGTAAGGACAAGCGGGCTAACCCAAATTTCAGAGGTTTCTAGAGTTTCATTGGTGTGTATATTTGTTTGGTTATAGAGAAAACTCTCCTTGTCTTTTAAAAGAAACTGAACAAGGGGCAAAAACTTTACCTTTGATTTTCTCAAAACTGCACTTGTGCTAAAAAAAGTGACCTATTGTGGGCTAGGTATATTTTAACAGCTGGCTCACGTAATACTGTTATATTTTTTTGGGATAGCCCATTTGTGCTTAAAAGTGACTATATAAACCAATAATAAAGATAAAGATGAAGGAGATTTGAACAAGGGCCATCCTTTCCGTAGTCTAGCGTGATACCAACTGGGGGTAACAGAGCACCCCCCTCCCTCTGGAAAGTACAGTGAGATCAAGAATGTAACCCTGATAACCCTTTGTAACAATACATTTTAACCCTATCCGTATGTCGTGTTTTACTATCGTATCCATACGACGTCGGGAACTCTGCGCCACCACTTAACCCTATCCGTACGTCGTGTTTTACTATCGTATCCATACGACGTGGGGAACTCTGTGCCACCACTTTCCAAAGAGGACATTTACTCGTTAATCCGATCCGTACGCTTCGCATAGCAGTCTGTCAAGATGCTTTTTTGAGAAATACTAAACGTTTTAAAGAGATCTTCGCACCACAAGTATTCTGAAATGTGAAGAATACAACCACGGGGGTAAAAAATGAACCCAGGGCATACGGATAGGGTTAAATATTTGCAAAATCGCAAAGGTTTTCCATTCTAGACTATGGAGCTTATGTCCCTGATTAAAATCCCTAACGAGGTATTCTTGAACTTGGTTTGTCTTCATGACTCCCCTCCCATTGGCTCGAATGCCGTCCTTTATTCGGCGAAAGACATAATTTAATAGAAGATCCGGGTTGTTAGAATGAACCATCAGTAATAAGAGAGGATGCAAGAGAGTGACATGCAATGCCAAATGACACGAAGTTTTTGAAAATGCTTCTGAATCCAAATAGAATGATTTTAATACCAACAGAAACTACTATTAAAAGCACCCCCCCAAAATTTAAAAAAAAAAAAATGAGATGTCATCGGCACAAAAAATGATAACTGTAGTTCCTTTCTAATTTAATAATTCAAGCGAGATTATCTGACACCCAATCAGTGACGACGACGATTTCAACCAACCACCCATGGAGAAGAATTGAGCCTAAATCAATAACTCTGATTCTTTTCTTTTCTTTTCCAGGCAAATGATGTTGACAGTTCCCGGGAACTCCCCGTTGATGTCCTTGGTGAGGACGCCGTCGGTCCTGTTGTAATGTGCCGTGCCTGGGACCTGGAGGCCATCTGTCTGTCAGGAAGTAGTCACGTGATGACATGTGATCTGGCAAGCTGTGGTGGCCACCAATCCACCAAGTCGTGGGCGGCGCTCAAGGTCACCGCGCTGTGAATGAAGGACACGCTTCAAGCATTTGCTTTGAGAGGAATAATTATTATTCTGTCTTCCATAATAATTATTATCATTATTGTTGTTGTTGTTGTTATAGAGGTGAAGGCGGCGTCGGTGTCCTGTCGGCAGAATGACGTCATCAGAAAGTGCTGTAGTTGCTGTGGTTGAAGAATGCAAGTAAGTAATTTGTTGGACATTTTTTTTCTTTTTCTTTTCTTTCTCGTTTTGAAAGTTCAACAACAATTAATTTTA